AGATTACAAAAAGAGGTGATGAAGCCTCGGTATCCTACTCCCTGGCATAACATAAATTACCATGAAGGATACTGAGCAGAGGAGGAATTGGCCTACTTATCTCTTTAGATCTTTTTCTTGGGTATGCTTATGATACCTGTTTGTTACAGAGATTAGTCATGTATCTGCAATGTTGCATGGTTTTTCTCCATTTGTACACAAGGATGTGCTGCTCCCAGTGGAAATAAATAAATAAACACAGTAACTCCTGCGTTTTTTCAGTACCAGTGTGTGGTTTGGATCTGTGTGTGTCACGATGGAGCTGTGAGTTTAGGCTTGGCACACTATTATTGGATCATTTAGGTTGGAAATTATTACTCATAATTAGCGCTAATAAGGTGGTGCCTTGCCATTGGGTGTACTGATAAAAACATCAGGTGGAAGCCTTGATCTTGGTCTATATAAGACGTGGTTCAGGTATGATTTTCATTTATGGGCATTTATTGGGATTTTAATAACTGTATGGCCTAGGCTGGTTGCAGCTTTTAAATCTGTTTAGCTTTTAAATCTGAAACGCATCAGCCAGAGATTGTGGCATCCCTGGTGACTATGCATGGCATACACAGGTTAAGAGCAGAAAGGCTGATTCCTGTCTTTTTTCTATTCATGAAGAGAGACAACACAATGAAAAAATAGGATGATTACTGAAATAAGCAGCATTTCCAGCATACCAACTGCTTCTTTGTGGCTGAGCATGAAGGCATCATCCTTAGCCTAAATTTCATTATGGAGGCTGCAATGCTATTCTTATGGATTTTGTAAAGTTCTCCTTGCCAAATGACAGCATGGGAGAAAACATCACTGTGCTTGAGGGAGTTCCAGCCTGATGAATAGCAAATGGTGATACCTGGCAGACTGCCTGCCTGCACTGTTCCAGATACACCACTATGCCCTGCCTCAGGACATTCAGTGAAGCTGGAGATGCTGCAGCTCCTAGAGAGAAATTTCTTTGATCCACTTGAACAAGAAAATGTGAGCACCATCCCACAGAGGTTATCTTTCTGTGACTGTAACTTTTTTAATTTGTTTTTTTGAGTAGCATATTCTCTGGCAGGAATATCTAAGGATCAAAATAATAATTTTTGAGCATTGTCCTATTGGTGTTTAGGTGTGTAGGTTCACAGCATGGCCCTTCAAAATCACCAGCGCAAGTGATTTCTTTCTGGCTGGCCAAGTTTCTTACCCTCTGAATTTTTCTTGGCAGTTTCAGCTCCTGTATTGCTCTTAATCCTGCTACCCACGATCCTCAGAGTAAGCATTCGTTTGTCTGCATCCACTGAAGGTTGTGGTCTGGAGGCTGTGCTCCAGGCACACCTGCCTCACAGGGGACAGCACTGACCTGAATACACATCACAGCACTCACAGCCACTTACATCAGGAAACAAGTAAATAAATAACTGCAGCATTGCAGTTAAGTAGTCAAGAGAGCTTGGACCAAGACTAGATCTACCTATCCCCTGGGGTGTATGCTAAGCCTTAGGCTCCTTCTTTTTGGCACAGTAATTTCTAAATAGTGTGTTGCACTGTGACAAAATTCCTGTTGAAATTTTTTGTCCCTATTTCCTTAGGTACTTTCATGATTATTCATGATTCTACTTTCATCTTCACTTCAGGCACTGCTGAATTGCCATGGCAGTTAAAGTTTGTTCTGCCTCTCTGGCGTTGACTACTGCTTCACATCACAGCTATCAGAATGAACAGGTGCTGAGGCTTCTACCTAACAACAAAGCCAAACAAGTAGATAGTCAATAAAGATGCATCTGAGGGAAGACACTTGGTTTGGGAGAGAAGCAGGCAAAATGCAGGCACATGTTTCCTTCTGCTGACTTTTCTAGAGGGATCAAGTGCACTCTCAGCAAGTTTGCAGATGACACAAAGCTGTTTGGTGCAGTTCACACACCTGAAGGATGGGATGCCATCCAGAGGGACCTGGACAAGCTTGAGGAGTGGGCCTGTGGGAGTTTCTTGAGGTTCAACGAGGCCAAGTGCAAAGTGCTGCATGTGGATCAGTTGGTTTCAATACAACAGCTGGTTTCAATACAGATGGGGGATGAATGGATTGAGAACAGCCCTGTGAAGAAGACTTGGGAGTGCTGGTGGATGAGAGGCTGAGCATGAGCTGACAATGTGCACTTGCAGCCCAGAAAGCCAGTCATATCTTGGGCCACATCAAGAGCAGTGTGGGCAGCAGGTCAAGGGAGGTGATTCTGCCTCTCTACTCTGCTCTGGTGAGACCCCACCTGGAGTGCCATGTCCAGTCATAAGTACAAAAAAGACATGGACCTGTTGGAGTGAGTCCAGAGTAGCGCCACAAAAACTATCAGAGGGTTGTAGCATCTCTGCTATGGAAATAGGCTGAGAGAGTTGGGGTTGTTCAGCCTCAAGAAGAGAAGGCTCTGGGTAAGACCATACAGTCTTCTAAAGGGGCACCTGTCAGTACGTAAAAGGGCTGCAACAGAGCTGGAGAGGGATTTTTGACAGGGACATGGAGTGACAGGACAAGAGGGAATGGCTTTAAACTGAAAGAGGATACTTTTAGATTAGATGTTAGGAAAAAATTCTTTCCTGTGAGAGTGGTAAGGCACCAGCTGTGGCTGCCCCATCCCTAGAATTGTTCAAGGCCAGGCTGGATGGGGCCCTGAGCAACATGGTCTAGTGGAAGGTACCCATGGCAGGGGGTTGGAATTAGATGATCTTACAGGTATTTCTAAACCAAACCGTTCTAAGGTTCTGTGGGAGCTCCAACTTGAGGTGACAGCTAACAGCTGCAGAATGGAAATGTCTTAAACTGATGCAGCTGTTGCTAAGTGACTGAGCCAAATTTAGCATTTTAATTTAGCAAATTTCACATATTAATGTAGCAAACAGGTGTTAATTTATTACATTAACTATAAATATATTTATGTTCCTTTTTTCCACTTTGCATTTGAGACTGCCTGGCAATAGTGTGAGGAAATTGATTTGAAACTCTAATATTGTCTGGTTTCACCATTCTTTCTTAGTTGATCTGGTTGTATGGTTTGTATCTTGCCATCTGACTCCTTAATTGTAGTTTGCAATGAAGAAAACCATATAATACTTGAATTGCAAGCTAATCTCTGTTATAAGCAAATGAAATAATTATTTGGAAAACTAATCAGGAAGCATTCAAATCTTCCTTGGTGATATGCCTACTTTAGTTGTACAGCTTGCTTCCTTCTAGATCGCAAGCATCAGCGTTAAGATTAGCCCAGCATTGGGAAAGCGCTTACTTGGCATTTCATGATCTGAATGAGTACTGCTGGATTTGTGACACCGCTCCTCTGCCAACGTCAAACGGATTTAGGCATAGCAGCCCTCGCATACTCGTGCTGAAACCTGGTCAGTCCTGAAACAGCATGTTAAAACAAGAGCTTACAGTTTGATGCATGGCTGAGAATTCAGAGACTGATACAGATACCTTGCAACTGGATACCCATGAGAATAAAAGAGCTGAACTGAAAGAGATTAAGCAGCTCTTTGTAAATTCTCCCCTGTGAAGTCCAAGGAACTGAGAGCTTCATTGTTTTGTAACCACTTGAAAATTAAAGGGGGAAAACAATTACTTCAGCATGGTCTTCTTGAATACAGTTTTATTAAATGTGCTCTTCCCAGAAATCTAGGCATACAGGCAAAAATAAAAAATCCTCAATACACAGATTTCACAACAGAGCATTGTCCACCATGGAACTTAAATGTTCCCAAACCCAGTTCTCTGTCAGCAAGCAGCTTTCCCACCCTGTTTCAAACACAGTCCCCATCCATCATCAGCTGACTCACTTTCTGCACTGTTTTTTGAAAATTATTTACCTCGGGCCTCTAGGCCCTTTTTCTCTATACAGCCATTTACACCTTCCTCTCTGGGTAGGATAAAGGCCACCGTCAACAGAGAATTAAGTTTCAGCATCCTGTTTTTCTGCAGGGCTGCTGTCTGCTAACACAAAGCTTTTGGACAGACACTGCCAATCTGATGCAAATGGGAAAATTAAATGTTTCTTCTCTATAGTTCACCTGCCTGTTGAAGATTAGTTCTCTGTATGACTGCAGAGCGGGGTCTCTTCCAGGAGGTTTATATTTGCTGCAATTGGAAGCATTCAGAAGCAACTTAAAGGATTGATCTAGCCTGAGAGCAGAACTGGGAGGTAGGAGCTCCTGAATTCAAAAGGCATTATTGCAGTAGTTTTGCTGCACAGCCTGAGGCTACAGGTTGAGCTTTTACCTCATTCTCCCCATCTGTGATACAGTTCATAGGAAGGTTTGGTGATTAATTTATGCTGATGAAGTTAATTACTTGGTCAGAATTTAATAATTTGATAAGAATTTCTATATATCCCAGGAAATGTGGCAAAAAGAAAAACAAAATAACCAGCCCTAAAACTGATAATTAACAAACCGAGACAAGATGGTGAAATTCAGGATAGAAACCTCATCAAAGATATTATGGCCAGTTCAGCCAGTGCAGCTTGACATTCCTCTGATTTCAGAGGCAGCTTGACAGAAATGTAAAGTTAGAGGATGGTATGTTCCTGAAACTTCAGTTTTACCCTGGCAGTTTTGGAAGTTCAATGTGGTGTGCTAAGGCAGCCAGTGAAAAAGTTCAGGGGATTGTATGTTGTTATTTAGTGGTTCTTGCAGGTATATACAAGGAAGCAATTGGAAAGGATTATGCAATGAAATTAATTTATTAAGATTTCCTGTGTCCTGCAGAACAATCTGTGACTCATAAGCGATTTGGACAGCACTGAGATGTACATCATATCAAAGGAATTCTGCAGGGCCAGCTCTCTTGGCAGGCTTGTTGTGATCTATATCTCCAGTGTAACTTTGGTTATAGTGTGACCAACCAGTATAATTAAATTACCAGTGTCACTGTCCTCAGCAAAATTGCCCCTTAGCCTGTATAGCTCCCTCTGTTGGACTAACTATTCAAGCTCTCTTTGCCCTGCAAAATGGGTGCTTCATCTCTCCCACTTTTTGATGAGTTAATAATTTGAATTATCTTGCTGTTTTTATGGTATTTTGTCTGCTCCAGGTTAGTTCAAATAATGTTGCTGAAGACCTTTACTTTGCACTTTGACAGAATTTAACTGCACTGATGTTTGAAGCTGCTATGAAATCTCTCAAATTTAACATAGTTTTTCCAAAACATTTGAAGTCAGCTACTCTATAATCTTTTTGTTATTATCCACTTAGTCCCCCTTGGATACAATGCAAACAGGTAGAAATGAAGGGTAGTGGTTTCATATTTTCATGGCTTGCTTGTGAAACATCTGAAATGCCTGGAGACCCCATGTCTGTCAGTGCTCTGCAGTTTTTGGTTGCTATTCATGTAACCCAGTGAGGCAGAAGAGCAGAGATAAGGGAAAGAACAGAGGAAGATTTCTCTCGGCAGTTTATTCTCCAGGGTTTTGTTCAGTCCACTTTTAAATGGCTCTGGCTGCTGAAGTGATTCAAGCTATGACATTTTGGCAGGGTGTGAAACAAAATCTGGCGGAGGTGCTACGACTGAAGGGCTGTTTTTGTTCTCTCTGAAATGTGTAGCAAATCTCTCACTGGCTTCAGTCAGAACAGGACCAGGTCCTCCGAGTCATTCAGTTTGAATAAGCTCCACAAAGCCAGGAAAAGAATCTAATTTTGTTGTACCATTACACTGTTAAAATCTCTTTCAGGCTCCCCCTCCTCTGTTTACAGTGTCCTCCCATGCAACTAAGACTTTCTGTGTAGAAAAAATGAGCTGGTTTTGTTAGGTTTTGAGCAACAAATAGCCCTGGATTAGTAGTCCCTGTCTGATGTCTCATTCAGACTGTCCCTTGTATTACCTAGCTTTGTTTTTAAGCCCTGATACTGGAAGTGGAAAATCTCCAGATGCATACTTTAAAAAAATCAATAAAGAGAGGAAAAGCTAATTGATTTTGAAATTATTTTTATTATTATTTTCTTTATAAGATAGCCCATTAAACTTGGGGAGTCCCTAATGAAAGGTAAGTTTGCTGCAGCCTTGTTTTTCCAGAGTCATCTCCCCTTGATGTTATAGCTTTCTTTTTTATTTCTCCCCACATATAGGTAAAAGGAAATTTTAAAAAATAACATAGTTCTGAATAATTTGGATTAATTTCAGAAGCGTTATTCTGGTTTTCTTACTGGTTTAGCAGGAGTTGTTGAACTCAAGTTACGAGTAAATCCATTTCCAATGTGTTACTCCACAGGCTCACAGAGGAGGATTTATCTCATCACAGATCTACAGTAAAACACAATAAAATAAATGGAAAAGTGATTCTGAGTGTCTGTTATAAAACCTTTTCAACTCTGTAAGCTGAATCCTGGAAGGAAAACCTGTCGCAGACGTGTCTGTTGGGAAACCTGTTCCAGGCAGCAAATTTATATTTTGAGCAATGTTATTTTTTTCTGAATTCTTTGTATTGAGGAGAGAAGCTTAGAGTCATGGTTCGGGTCCAGTCCAGAGAAGCTGTTCACACCTGAGGCCAGGACAGTCACTCAAACAGTTCTAAGAAGTCTCTGCCACACAATGTTCCAGGCCAGGACCACTTACTTGTACTGGTGGCTGAACAACAGCCAGCAACCATAGACAGTTCTGTGATTTCTGCAGGTATTTTGCCAGTCGGGAGACAGGCTCTCCTGTGCTTGAGATGTTTGTCTGCTGTTACTATGCTGCCTTCCACACTTCCTTCACTGTCAGCAATTCTTTCATGCTCCAAAGGCTCAAGTGAATAAGCAGTATTTATGACCTCTCCCTTCCCCCACACCTCTCAGCGGTGCCCCTCTCGCTCTCCCTGGGTGCCTCGTTCTTTGTCTGCAGCTGCCTGTATTTTGTAAAGTAGAGCTGCTGTCATGATTCTTCACGATGAGACTGGTGAGGCATTGGAATGGTTGCCCAGAGAAGCTGTGGATGCCCCAACCTTGGAAGTGTTCGAGGCCAGGTTGGATGGGGCTTTCAGCAACCTGGTCCCTGCCCATGGCAGGGGGTTGGAACTAGATCATCTTTAAGGTCCCTTCCTTTCTAAGATTCTATGATTTCCATTTGAGACGGAACACTGATCACTAAAGGAGTGTCTAGACCATATTTGTGTCCTCACCTTAGGTTGGCTGGTGGGATCAGGGAAGGAAGGGACTTTCAAAAGTGAAGTGAATGATTAAATAAGGCGGGGGGGTGGAAGGAAGGGGAAAGGAGAGGAAATAGGACTAGATGTTTCAAGAAACAGCTGGAGAAGAATAGGGGCAGGGATGCATAGGGGCTTTCTGGACTGCAGGCAGAGGGAAGTTCTGATGCGACTGGAGTTGGAGAAGGAAGGAGGAAATTTTGAGTCTAGTACCTGCTTTTTATATCTGAAAACAGACTTTTCTGTTATGGTACTCGTTTCCACAGAGTCTTGCACAACGTAGGATTAACATACATAATGGTCAGCCCCTGGACTTTGCATAGCTCCAGTGACTGACCCAATGTGTTTGAAACTTATACCCCCAACCACAAAAAGAGCTTCTGACATTTCAGTTTGTTTTTTACCTAAGACTACCAGTGGCTGGTCATATTTTTTTGAAAAACAAACTATTTGCATCATTGAGAAAACATACAAAACCAGGATCCTGTGGAGCTCCAAAGAAACCCACCCCATGTTTTTAAGCTTGAATTAGCAGCATGCCTCAAAACTCAGATATATGTGTTTAAATTCAGCTATTAGCTAATGAATCAAAGACTGACCTCACCGTTAAGCCATTGCCCATCTGTATTTTATGACTTCCAGAGATACACAAGGTTTCCAGAATCGAATAGTCATTTGCGGCTTCCCTAGTATTCCCCCGACTTGCTGACTGCTCACCAAAGCACTGAACGCTCTTAGCTGTCTCTGTGCAATTTCCTGGCTAAAGGAGATCTGGAATGTAAAAGTGTATTCATCATCAGAGGTTTTGCAAGATTCCAGGACTTCAGTGAAGCGGTAAGAGATGATTTAAAATTGGAATGGCATGAAGGTTCCTCTAAGTTTTCAGTCAACTATAGGGTAACTTAACCAACAAGAATGTAACCCTTAAGGAGAACCTGAATTATTTGGGATTTTAGTATCACAAAAATGTACCAGGTTGTAATAACTGTTATAGCTGTACCAGACAGATCCTGGCCCTCTACTGTGAGCCTCTCAGTACAGAAATGGAGGACTAAGTGGCAAGTGGGAACATGTACAGTATGACGCTCTAACCATTTATCTGGAGTGAAACAACTGCATAAAGCCAAATACTGAGAAATGGTAGCGCATAAGCTGGATTTTCGACTTCAGTGCTAAGATCAAACAAGAGTAACCCAGAGCTAGCTTTGCTAAAATGGTGACCCTGGTTCCTACTCCTGTATTTGAACTCATACTGGGCGGAGAAATCTTATCAAACCTTTCTCCATGATGTTAGGAGGTGCATGTCCATGTTAAATATGCATCAGATGTAATGTGCTTCTTGTATACATTTTGGAACTGATTTTAACTTCCGTTGTGATGGGTATTACACACTACCTAACATCAGGATATGTAAGATGGGAACCAGATGCTGTTCTTCACTAGTCAGGTGTTCTGGTCCTTTTGTTATTTTTTACTTTGCTTTTCTGGCACTAAAACACCCTAAAACTTACTGAGGAAATGAAAAATAACTGCTGACGTGCTTTTGTGTGTTTGTTCGGGAAAAGCATCGGTGCATCACAGATTTACGTCCAGAAACACATTCCTCACTGCTTTAGTCTGCTGTATTATCTGGACAAAATGAAAAGGAGTTAGTTTTGATTTGAAAGTGTTTTACATACATTTTGCAGAGGTGTACAAGCTTACATGATATGTAGGGCAGTGATGAATCATAGTGTGTCTTCTTCATCACTTCACACCACTATAACAACATTACTTTGCTGGATTGACTTCTGATTTACTGGGTGAGAAACCCCCAGGCAGTGGTATGCTGACCCACCATCACCTTCAATTTTGCTTGCTGGTGCTTGCTGTTTTCTGCATCTTTGCAGTGAGATCTCTGGCTGAGGAACTTTGAAACTGTGTATTGTATAACTGTAGGACCTCTTTTTTTCTTTTTGTCTTTTTCTTTTCCCAACTACTAAGACCTAGAGATTTGTAATTAGTTTTCGAGTCATTAATGAATTCTGGTTTCTTCCTTATAGGCTGCAGCCAATTTGTCTCTATTTGCTAGAGCAGATTAAAGGAGTGGACAGGTTATTGCAGGTGACTAAGCTGGTACATCCTAACAAGTTACTGTCCCTCAGCTAAGTTTTAGCATCTGTGATTACACATGTTCTTGTGTTCCCCCTGCATTGTGTCAGCCAAGATATATGGGGATTTGATTTGGCTGAAAAACATCCAGAAAAAATCTTGGGTGAATCAGTTCCTTGATCCCTTCCCTTACATAGCTGCACAAATAGCTGTGCTGGCACAGTGCAGGGAATAGCTCAGGAACAGAGATGCACAGCAGAGTAAGAACTATTGATACTGGTACTGCTGACAAAGAAGAAATCATCAGGCTATGCCCTACAGCAGTGGTAGTGCTCATTCTGCCGTGTGTCTGAAGGGGAGCAAAATACAGTTCTTATGTGATCACTATAAAACTGATTGTTCAACAGAGTTGGTCTTTGAGGCTGGGGTCTGGTGCCAGGCTTCTTCCCACAGAACACAGGAAACCCTTTGGAGGTGTAAGAAATTCCCTTTTTTGCCCACACTGGAAAAGAGCCATCTGACTTTAACCTGATTACAAGGCAGGATGGATCCTTTCCCTGAAAACCCCCTGAACACTTTGCTCTGAGTGCTTAGAAATGCAAATAAAATGATTTACATTTCACTCATTCCTTTCTCAAGTACCAAATTGTGGTTTGCAGTTGTAGCTTTATATCCCATTCTGGTGTTGTTCATGGACATCCTCCTCCTTTTGTTTTGGAACTCCCTCTGAAATATCCAGCAATAGTTTCAGACAAAGGAATCTCAAAATTTGGGTAAATTTAGAAAACTGTAAGTATTGTAATCCCAGAATATCCCTTCAGGAATCTTTAGGATTCCACATTACTGCAGAGTAGGATAATAGCAAAAGGTAAGAACACAGTTCTGAAAGTTTTGGTGAGATCCCTTGGCAGTAAATATACAAAGGGTTAATTGAAAGAATTTTTGAACTGAGTTAACCTGTGTATTGATTGTCTTTCCTCATTTTCAAGTGGCTTTAAAGCACCTATAATGGAAGTCCTGGTTATTTCATGCTTCTTTAAATACCTTTATACAGCTAGAGAATGGGCTCTTAGTGTCACAGAATCCAGAATGGCTAAAGTTGGAAGGGACCACAGTGGGTCACTTAGTCCAACCTCCCTATTCAAGTAGAGTCGTCCTCAAGCATGTTGCACAGAATTCCATCAGGATGGTTCTTGAATATCTCCAGTGAGGAAGACTCCACAACTTCTCTGGGCAATCTGCTACAGTGCGTGGTCACCTGCACAGTAAAGAAGTTCTTCCTCATATTCAGGTGGAACTTTCTGTGGATCGTTTTCTGTTTTCTCTTATTACTTGGCACACTGAAAAGAGTCTGGCTCCATACTCATGGCACTCTCCCTTCAGATACTTATAGACATTGATGAGGTCCCCTCTCGGTCATCTCTTCTCAAGGCTGAAGCTCCTGCAGCCTTTCCTCCTAAGAGAAATGCTCCAGTCCCTTAATCATCTTTGTAGTTCCCTGTGGACCCGCTCCAGAAGCTCCATGTGTCTCTTGTACTGAGGAGTGCAAAACTGGACACGGTACTCCGGATTCAGCCTCACTAAGGCTGAGTAGAGTGCAGTACACCAGGTATGTATGGACCAGGCCTTAGGTCAACCACTGCAATTACCTTACTCGTCCATTTTCCATGGGGTTGAACGGATGTATTTGGCAAAATAACTTGCCAAACAAGGCGTGGTTTTGCATATTCTCTCACCTGGCTTCAAAATTTATTTTTTAAAATTATCAGGGTGTATCCATATTTCTGAAAAGGCTTTGGGATTTCAAGTGTGGTACAAAAGGAAGTTAGTCTTCAGGTCTCAGTTCAGGGCTGAAGGGTAACTGTTGGGTTTTAACTCCACCTTTGATGGTGCCCCCCTTTATGGATCTGGCATTTAAGCTGAGCTGCCTGGTTTTCGCCTCAGTTCCCCGCCAGCAGCAATCCTGTAAGGTCCCATGTAACTGTGGGATTCTTGATACAGGCTGGTTTTGTGGCTGTCTTTGAAGCGAAGTTACTGATATACTACCCTGAACTGACACAAACGCCTTTATGTTGCAACCAGAGGACAGACTACGGCCAGACGGTGCTTGGGGGAGCTCATGCCTGTGTGTGTGTGAATTTGAATCCAATTTTAAACGTATCCAACAGAGGGAAGCGATTCCAAGTATTCAATTCCACAGCAGGTTCAGCTGATTGAAATCAGTTCTGTGGCAGTCCCACTCTATCAGTCCTAGACTCGCATTCTCACTTCCTCCATTTGTTTACTTTTGCAATGTTAATCTTCTGCTGGTTTAGCTCCCCAACAAACTTGTCACTGGAACTTGGAAATGTTGGTACAAGGGGGAAGGGGAAGACTGTGGCAGCGCCGTCTTAATCAGTCGTATATATGGGGAATGTTGTCTGGGCACAAAAGGCAGGTCTGGTGTCCTGTATTATTTGTCGCTCTTGCCTGTATCTATCTGCTTCACTCAACATTTCATTCTTGTACATCTAGAGAGCACGTCTGCAGAGCACAACCTCGCCATGCCCGTGCTCTGTTCTGGAGAGCAGTGCAGCTGTACGTGCAGTCAAATCCCTCCTCTTTTCCTCTCTCGGCAGAGCACACGCGCTGAGCTGAAAACTCCTGTTAACTAGGGTGACAAGTTTCCACCAAGCTTTAGATCACGGGGAGAGGGAACACCCGGATCCCGGCAATATAAGGTATAGACGCCTCGGCTTTTGCAACACAGCGGCAAGGCAGAGCCCTTTTTATTCTTGCCTTTTTTGGATCTGCACGCACACAGCGCTCAGCACAATGGAACCGGCTCAGCGATAGCACAGCGCGATACGGGGAGCAGAAATAAAGTCATTGCGGCGCCGCTCGCCAAGGGTGTGATTGCCGGCGATCCACTCCCCGCGTGGCGGCTCCGCCGATGGCGTGATCGCCAAAGACTTCTACGTCCCAGGCCGGCGCCGCTCCCGCCCTCTGCCCTGCGGAGCCGCGGGGCTCTGGGCAGCCGCCACTTCCCGAAGCAGCACTGGGGAACACAGTCCGGAGTCCCGATCTGCCGCACCCGGAAGGTACCACCCCCTCCCCCCCAAAAAAAACTTTCCGCCGCGGGCCCCTCGGCTGCGATGCCGCGCCCGGCGACCCGATCGGAGCGGGCAGGACCGGCCCCCCTGCCCGGGTGCCGCGGGCCCCGCTGCCCACCTTGGCGGCCGGGGGGCGGCGGGGCGGGCCCCCCGCAGCCAATGGCCGCGGCAAGGCGGGCAGGGTGCGGGAGGCGGTGCCGGGCCCACAATAGGGGCGGTGGGAGGGACGGCGGTGTCGGGAGCGGGGCCGGGCGCGGAGCCGCGGGAGAGCCGGGCAGCACCTTGCGGCGGGCGGAAGGTGAGTCCTGCCGCGCCGGGGAAGGGGATTTCCTCCCTTGTTTTGTAACCGGGAAGTTTGCACAGAGGTTGAGCGGCTGGCTTCTTTTTTCTCCCACTCCCCCCCCCACCTCCTTCTTTTTTTTCTCTTTTCTTTTAGGAGGGAGGTACGGAGCCTGCCTTCCCCCTCCGCTCTCCCCCGCCTCCTACCTCCCCGGCTCATTCATTTGATAAAGGGAGTTGTCCTCAGCCCCCGGGCTGTGCAAGCGGGGAGCCGCTCGGGGTCTCGGGGCAGAGGTTGGGGTGGGAATCGGGGCTCAGCCCAGAGTTTCTGCCGAGCACCCCGTCCAGGCTCCGATTGGAGAGGCGGGCGCTTTGGGCAAACACAAAGAATTGAGGAGCTGGACCCATGCTGGGCGATGGGGTGATGAAGCTCTAGGCTTTGTGTGGCTGGTGCGGAGGGATGGCGAGGTGGGAGCTTGTCTTTTAACCCCTCCGGCCGCGCGTGTGTACGAAACCGTGGCTTTTTGCTGCTGAAGTACTTAAAAGCAAAGCTGAACTTAGGATCGTGGGATGATTCAGATGGGAAGAGACCTCAGAAGGTCTCTAGTCCGGCGTCCTTCAAAGCAGGGGCTTCTGCCAGGGGAGTGGATAGCAGTGAAGGAACATCGGAGATGGGTGGCACCTCTGGGTGCTCTTGAGTGCTCCTGGGAGACCGAAGGAGAGGCAGCACCAGCAGGGCGAGTCTTCAGGGGCAGCAGCGCTTCTGTCTTCCACTGTGCATGGAAATGCCCTAATCCACAGCTCTTCCATGCCTGCAGTCCGTGTTCTTGATGCTTTTGTTATCCAGAGGGCTTAAAATTCATGATTGTTGGGAATAGCTGGCTCCATCCCGTATGTGTGTCACGGTGCATCTGCTCCTGCTGAGCATTACTTGAGCCTTATTCCGACATTGCCTCCAGGAGGTTTTTTCTTCAGGAACAAGATTTATAAATAGGTGTCAAAACCTGGCTCTTTGCTTGGGACCTGTTACCGGCTGTAAGGCTTGTACTTGATGTGGTAATTAAGTATGAGATACATGTGTGTGTGTGTAAGAACAATCGTAAAAGCTGTTTAGTTAGCCAAGATTTTAATTTTCAAAGTGAAAGCAGGTATTGTAGTTGGGTGAAATGGCTGTGTCGGGCTCAGACGGAAGAATGTTTGTTTTCTTTGCTTGCAATTACTCTTTGTACAGTGGCTTACTGATGCCTTTCACTGAACTACCTCCCCCTTTTCTTTACCTGGAGTTTCCTGGTGTTGCGCACATTCACTGGCCAAGCAGGGAGCATCTTCCTGTTTGCTGCTCTAATACTTCTTAGTGTGGGTGTGTTCATCTTGTTTGCAGCTTTTTAGGGTAAGGCTGGAAAAACTCCTTGTGGAACAGTTTGTGTGTGTGTCCAGTGGATGCTTGGAAATTGCTTTTCCCTGCGCGCTTTCTGTGGATAAGTCAGAAGTGAAACTCATTTCTGCACAGAGAACAGAAGGTATGGTGGGAATTTAAATATGTCTGCGTACTGATTCTGTTTAACTCTGGATTGCCTGTCTTGTGCCACGGGGAAGAATTTGTTCTCAGCTGTACTGTATAGCAAAGGTGGAGATTAAAACTGGAGGCTGATAAGACATTTTTTTTGTTTTTAGCCTTTTTGAGTCCCGTGGGGAGGAACCAACATCTTTAAATGGGATGATATAACTACCATTCTTTGATTTGAAAATGAAAACCAAAAATAAAATTGAAGACCAAAATGCTCTAGTATCATGACAGCAAGAATGCTTTTACTGGTTTTAGGAAATATTATGTGCTCTGGATGTTGCTCAGAAAAAAAGAATAAGGAGAAGTGAGGCTTTTAGTTCATACTTTTCTGTGCATCATGGGGATATTGGAAGAAATATGCGACAAGTTCAGTATAAGTGCCGCAAGTGAAAATATATTGTTTGTTGATTGTGTTTATGACTGCCTTACTTGTACTAAACTGAAAAGTGATGCTGGCTCTTTTTGCCTGAGAGGTCAAAGAATTGCTTGATTATCCTTTTCCAGGTCTATGGAGGGAGACTTTTTCTCTCAGCTTTGACTCCAATGCGTAAATTTCACCTAGTTTGCTAACTAGTGTTTTGTCTTTTTTTGAACATGAGTGAGCTGCAGTGTGACTTCTTTCCTTCTTTCTCCCTTTTGTACACCTGTCTCACTTCCTTGGTGTGGGAAGTTTTGTAGTTTCCAAAGCTAGTTTTTATGGTCCAGTTCCCTTACATTTGTAAGAGGGTACAGAACCACCTAGAGCTAAACCAGACTTTTCTCTGTAGCAAAATACAGAAGTGATCCAGAGCTCCACCCTTAAAGCGATCTGGTTTTACAGTTCATCCTGTCAACAGCAGATAACAGAAGCAAATAGACTTGTAAAGGAACTGATTGGTCTGGGTGAGGAGGTACAAGACATAGACTGAAACCAGGCAACTAAAAATAAGTCATATTTCTTTAACGCCTAGGCAGGCATTAGCTCTTTTACAGGTACAAGAATACCTCTTGTTGGCTTTTTACCTCTATGGGAAGGCAAAAGAATATTGTGTGCCAGAATTGTGTTGTGTGAAGGAGCCTTTTTCTATATCTGGCAAGAAGCTGAGCTGTTTTTCTCAGCCTGATGTCTTGGCCTGTATAGGAATTGGGGAGAATGTAGGCATGTTCTGCTTGATGCTGAGGGCTTGCTCTTATGGAGAAAATAGTCTAGTGTGTGACTCATGCACTTGTACAGCTCTGACCTGGGAGGAACTGCTTTGCACCCCTATTCCCAGAGGTGGGAATGGGTGGGTCCATTCCCTTTGGTGGCAGTGGAACTGGGGCT